ATATAAAGACAAAAATAGACAGTATGAAGTGTAGCTATATATATATATATATATAATAGAGACTAAAGTATTTGCATTTTAGTTTGTAAAATGTAAAAATACTAACTAATTAATTCAGAATTATTTTTTTCTTAATATATATTGAGATGTCTCTAAATTATTTTTAATCTGAATTTATAAAATGTAAAAATAGATGCAAAAGTTAAATATCGAGAAGAAAATTTTTGCCGAATGTATAACTTACAAATAAAAATGTTCAGTATTCACGCAAAAGGTCTAATTTCAAGAAGAAAGATTTGTTCGAAGAACATAAAAGCATATTGATGAAACAAAGGAAAGCATACGTCGTAAATTAAAAAAAAATCTCGAAGAAAAGATAGAGGGTAGAAGATAAGCACCCCTGGGGGTTATTGCCGGAATAAGAAGGAGGGGGGGGGGAGGAGAGGAAGAGAGGTGAAGGAACTTTTGGCACGGAGTAATCGAGAAATATATATTCAAAGTTATTCCAAGTGTTTTCTTACCCAGAGCCCCACCGTGTTGCAGCTGCGCAAGAGTTACGATATTGGTATCGTGGTTAGGCGCGGTGTATATATATGTCGAGGCTTAGTAGACGAGAATTTAGGACTATCTTATATTCGCGAGGTGGTAGAAACAAAATAGAACATGTACACGTATGTGTGTGTCACGTATGGGTATTGTGTATGTTAGGTTTCATCTGTACCACGTGAAACGACTGTGAGACGGGCTGGGATTGATTCTGAAATTGATTATTGATTATGGTATATTTCGATCGATTTGAAATCTCTCTCTCCTTCTTTCTCTTTCTCTCTCTCTCTCTCTCTCCCATTCTTTCTTTTTCTCTCTCTTTTTATATTTATATGTCTTCAATAGATGTACCGACATATCGATAACATAACGCGCTTTTCCCATTGTTGCCGAGCGATGCTGAAACAGTGATTGTTAATACTGTAAACACAGTATTTAAATTATTTAGAAGCAGATTAAAAAATTTATTATATTAAAGATTTATTCAAGATTAATATTTATTTTTATTAATAATTATCTCCGCAATAAATATATTTTAAATTTTTTATGTAATACTATGTTTGTATAAATGCTTTTTTTATTGTAACATATTTATTAATAAAATTATAATTCTAATTGCAATAATAACAAAACAATTCTATACAGTGACATATAATATTCGTATGTATAATTTTCTTTTTATAGTATTATTATCATAGATTTAATTTTATTGATTTTTATTATGCTACGATGAAAATTACATATACGACTTATATAAAATGTAATTGTATAAATTTTTTTTTTTTTATAATTGTACTTATATAAGAGCCACCAAAGAAATAAACTTAATAATTATTTTTGATATATATATAATTTAAAAAAAATAGTAATAAATGCGATTTAATTGCAAGTGGTTAAGTATATATTTTATTAGATTAAGAATATAAGAAGAATATTCATAATATTCAGTGTTTAAGAGTTTTGTGGCATTAAATTTCAGTGACAATTTTAAAACATTTAATTTTTAATTAAATCTGATTCTTGATATACGTTTCTCTCGAAACGAATATGTTTCAGCATAACTGATAACAGTGGGTCCAATCGGCGTCGATCTGCTCTTTCGTCCTGAAAATACAATTAGACGTAATTTTTGGCGTCAACATGCAGGCGGGTGCATTTCGTTCGTTCTCCTTTCCTCATGCAGCTTGGTGCTCGAGCTAAAGGCAATTGTCAGACGCTCATTAGTCATTCATTCCGTGAGGCAGAGAGGATGATTTGATGAAATGACCGCTATTATCGATCGATTAAAATCAAGAAGCACAACAAGCCTCAATCTGCCAAAAATTAAAGTACTCGTCGAGAAATAATTTAATTTTATTAATCGCGCTCACAGTCATTTCGAAGTAAACAAATTAAATAGATTGTTCGAGAGTTGATTGAAAATTAACTCTAATAAATTTTGGAGAGAGTTTTTTTTTACTTTTTGTAAGAAAAGATGAATGCAGTAATAATCAATTATTTTTGTTTATTAAAAAAAAAAAATAATATAGTTTTCGGTGAAAGAATAAAAATTAATTTCGATTTAAGTCCCAATATCTCTCATTGTATTTTACAATAGCAAAGATATATACAATACTGGATCGCGTCGATGATATAGATGATGATAGTGAGAGGAACGTAGATTATTGCGTGCATGTGCAATGACCAATGGTGTACCTAGAGAGCTAGCTTAAGTGTCGTGTGCGTATATTATCCACGTTTGAGCTATGTACATATTGTGGCTCATTTCCTAACCATTCGCAAGAAAGCACTCATGGAAACAATTACGGATACAATTATTGACAAGAATGAACACTTACATAAAATATGCTGTCAATTAATTCAAGAATCAGGTTCTCTTCTTACATTCTTTTGCTGATAATTTATTGTTTCAAAAATAATTGTGTATAATGTCAAATGAAAAAATTTATATTTTACACGGGAATTTTTAAATAATATTTAGATAGCAGTTGGCACGCGATCGGATATTTTAGATAGTAAATGTGATATATATGATAGCGTGATTTTAGACGTTAATCTTTCTTTCCGTTGTCACGAAGATTTTTATATACACAGCAAAAGGTTTCGTATCAATAATTTTTTCCATAAGCTACGTGTCTCTTCGATACAGGAATAAAAAGAAAAGAAGAAAGAAATAAAAAAGCTAGATGTAGAAAGAAGATAAGAGAGTCGTAAATAGATACATATATAGATGTATTTAAATATTGGAGCATTCTATCGTTCAAATATTCTATACGTGACTTCTTCACATATATTATATGTATATTTGCAATATTTTGTAAACTCATATATATATATTTAAATAATATATCTATATTTAAATTTAAATTATACTATTTTAAGATTTATTCGCGTATATTTTAA